GGCAAATTACCAATCTTTCTTGCTCAGATGGTCGACCTGTAAAGCAGCTCTTTTTTATTCTCTTGATGGCAACATCAGATCCCCTCCATTTTCCATGATATACAGTCCCAAATGTACCAGAACCCAGCTCCCTCAACTCTTCAAGATCTTCATTCACTATGAGCTATAACATCAATCCAGGATAAACACATAAGTATCAAATACACAATACATTTAATATGCTGAAGTATGTGGAACATTGTCAAAATAGGTTGAGGCCCAAAATATAACAAGCACGCAATATGTGCAGAGAAATTTTCAAAAGCAAGAGAATGCCAGAAACACATGCATGAAGCTTCAAGCATGTAATGGCCAATAAGATACACTAAAAGTTTATCCCCCATTGCATTTGAGTAGAAAACAAATTAAGTTTATAGTGAGAAACAAATGCTATATCATATAACAGAAAGAAACAAATCTAACCAAGCATTGTCGAAGAGCAACATTTCTATAAAATTAATTTTGGATGCCTTTATCGATTTAAGAAACCATTCAACTCCTAGGATAGACTATAATTCTTCCAGAACTTTATAAAGCGAATTAGAGCCAACAGCATCAAATTTTGTGCTTGTTCTTTACTTAGATAGAGTGTTACAGAAGCAAGTAGCTCAAACGAGGATTGGAATTCATCTCTGAATGTGTTAAAAGCTATGCATCAAAACAAGTTGTCCCTTGCATAATGGGTTTGCATTAGAATATTATGTGTGGCACCCATAAATAAACATGAGCAAACAGAAAGCTAGTTTCCCCTATTAGCAACCAGCAAAGATAAGTTAACACAGCAAAGTACTGTCTTATGACTTGCTATGGATAAGTTGAAGCCCACCTCATAACGTTACTGGTCAGCTGCTTATCTCCACAACAACAGAATGCACTTGCTGAATTTGTACTTCAGACTCCAAATTTCACTTTCACATACACAACTATTTATACGGGAAGTAGCTATACAAGATCAAAAGTTTGCACATGGGGGTTTTATGTTTGGCTTCAGGGGAGTTGGATGCAGAAAAAGTGGTAAGGAAATCAACACTCATGTTCCAAGTCCCAATACGCATAAAGGGAGGTGACATGGATATCCAGAACAAAATTCAAAGTTTAACATATACTATCTTTCTTGCATGTACCAAGCAATAGCCCACTCCAACACTGGAATTATTCATATAATACGCACCAAAAGTGAATAAATAAAAAGAGGAAAAAGTGCAACATAGGCTTCATACCTGCAAGGTATTGATATCAAAGTCTCCCAGAGAAGGATCCAAAGGAGGTAGACCAATATTCCTCTTTTCTGACTTCCCCTTCTAGAAGAACAAAGTAGTCAGAAATTCTGTTAGCATATATCTTTTAAGAAATCCAGGTTCACAAAATCATTGACCATTGAAATTAAGTACCTCATATTCTGACTCTGGCGTTCTTAGGTTCTCCATCATGGCATCAAACTGCATACTTTCAGTAATTTTCTCTACGGGTTGGTTGTCCTTCTGGTTGTCTTCATCAAAATTTTGATTGGAATCAGCTTGGGTTAATGGAACTACCTCTGCTGGGGTTAACTGATCCAATCTAATATCTTGGTTGATGAGGGAACCATCTTTTTCACCATAATCTTGTGACAACTTTTGAAAATATGACCAGTGCTTTGGCTCGTGGTTTTCCATGTTCAAGCTCAGGCCAGCTCCATCTGTCTGCAGCAGGCTAACACCAGAGGACTCCTCAGAAAGCATTGCTTTCGAAAATATATCAGAAAGGAAATCACGAGGAAATCGATCATTAATATCAATAAGAATGTCTCCCTGCTGTGTCCTGGAAATACCAAAATCATGGTGTTCTGTACAATCATCGTTAGTTGAACTCTCTGTCCTCAAACCAGCCTGAAAATGTCCTGGAGGGCTAGTCATATTGCCATGAGTTGGTTTTGGAAGATTGTGTTGAGGAGCCTCATGGTGCATAGCAAAAGCTGGTTCGCCTACTGCAGGAAGTCCTGATCCAGTTTCTGTTTTCTCAACAAATGAGAGTGTCTTTTGATCATCTGGAAGGTTATCTCTCATATGATCAACCTGAACCCTATCCTTGTTTGCAGTTTGCATATTGTCCACAAGGTTTGAATCTGCCTTCTTCAAACCTGTATCCAACGCTTCTTCAGAAAGCTTTGAGTTCATCTGCGAAATAGCATCAGCAAATTCTTTGTACTTCTGCAGTTGGGCAAGCCCATCATCAATGGTTTGATGAGCTATATTTGAGGCTTTTGCCACTGAGACTTCACTATGGGGAACCATATTACTATCACGTACATTGTCAACAGTTTCTGCGGCTGCATCTCGCGGTGCTACATCAGACTGTGGGTGAGACAAGAGCAACTGAGAACGTAATGAATCATCGGACTTTGACAATCGGTTCAGCAATTCTGCCTGCTCCCGAGGAATTCTCTCTGAATAATAAACATTGCGAGGAGGCACCGGGGCCTCAACGTAGCTCAAATCAGTTGGATTAGAATCAGAATCTCCAAAACCTTGACCAAATGTGCCACTAGACATAGAATGATAGTCATCGTTACCCGGTTTAGGAACCATCACTGGATTCACAACATCTACAGATGACACAACTTGTTCATTTTCCTGATACTTTGCTTCATTTTTAGAAGTCAAGAAAGGCACATCTGGTGAAGCAACTGATACTGGCACTTCTTCAAGAGGAAAATGCTTTATCACCTTTCCATCATGTGGCTGAGAAGAAACAGGGTGATCTTTTTCCAAGGGATGAGGTCTTTCAAGGTCATTATCCTGGTTACATGAACCTTCAGGTTTTGGCTTCAACTCTGTCACCAGCATCCGTGGATTCTGTTGTAGACCATTGCCTGATTGAACTTCAGTCAAGTGTTCATGCTGATTCATAAACCCATTAGGAGGAACTGAATTAGAAAATTCTGCAATATAGGAATAATTAGAAGAATTATGACCATACTGCAATGGATACTGCATTGTCTGGCCATGATAAAACTGTGGATGGCTTTCATAAGCATCAGAGAAACTTGGTAGAACCGATTGAGAAGACTGAAAAGCTGATGATGACACCATAATGCCAGGAAAGGGTGAACAGCTAACCACAACAGAGTCTCTTGAAACTCTGCTTGTCTCCCTTTCAATAGTCTTTCCATCTAATTCTGTTAGATTGTTTGCTGAATAGCTTGCCCACCCATTCAGAGTAGAGCTTCTCCTAGTTCCCGAGTCCATTCCATTGACAGCTACGACATACTGAATCTCAGAATCACCACCCGTGTTGCCCAGACCAAACTGAGTATCCTCCAAATCACTCAGTGAGAACAAAAACATCCTAAGCTTTTGCGAGGCTTCTTTATTTTCAAGTTCATTACATTCCTCCATCATATTCTGCAGATCTTCGTCAGACGACACAGACACTAAAGCATCAAAGTCCTCTCCTGGAAGCTGATACTTAATCACATGAGTTTGGTCATAAATAGCTAATATCTTCTGCTCAAGTTCTTGCCATGAAATATCCTTTCTGATGCGAATTATACGTGTTTCACCTCCAACATACCTTAGCTTTCCATCACTTGGTCGAGGAAGGATTTTCCCACCAAAGCTGCAGAGAACCTTCATCTTTGATGATGTTCCATAAGAGGCACCAAGTGGCATTCCTGAAAGTCCTCTACTATTCCCATATCCCAATGAAGTCTGTGGTACTGATTGAAGTGACCCATAATTACTTTGGTCTTCATGTAAAGAATCTTTTTTTTCGAACCCCTTTGGAACTCTCTCTACTATGTTAAGCATTGAAATCCCAGACCCACTTTCGGACCCTGTATGACTAATGCCTAAAATGCCTTTTAGATCCATATATCCTGTTGCATAACTGGATTCACCCGGAGAGTTTTGGATGAAAGGCTTCCTAGGATTTACTCGATCCTGCATAAATTCAAAAGCGAACTCCTCACCAGTCTGTATGGAATAATTAAGTACAGGTTTAACTTCTGATCCATTTAGCTCAGGAGGTCTTATACTCATATTTAAGCAGCTCATAGGATCTAGCATAATCGCCTGAGATGCTTGTGGGAGTTCCCGATTTCCATGTTCCACAGAGTTGAATTGTTTATGAACTCTAGATTGTTCCATGAAAATAATGTTTGGATTTTTCTCCATTCATTCCGTCTCAAATGGGTCCCTGTGCCCATGTGCCATCTTTCACATATAAATATAAACCAGTAAATACATACAGAGATCACAAACTTCTTCCACAAGCAAGCAATCACCATATAATACAGAAAAGTTGAACTTGCCAAGCAACTGAGACTTGGAAGCACTTTCTATTCGGTTTCCAGTTTTAGAACCAAAAACAGATACCACTAGCCATCAGGAATTTTTAAGATGATCAGGGGTCACTGCCATTGCCATCAGGAATTTTTAAGATGATCAGGGGTCACTGCTATTGGACCTGCAACAAGATAGAAACTTTATATCAGATTTCATTGCATGCAACAGAATTTAGAACTCAGTTTGAGTAATAAGGTAGTAATATAAAGATGAAATGAATCAAGAAACCAATAAGCAATGTCAACCCAAAGAAAAACACCATTAAAATTTCAAGAAGAAAATGTGATGCTAAGTACAGTTAACACCTCAACAATTTTTAATCATTAACGCCTTAGTATTAACTTGCTGTATTAGAAGCCAGACTATAATTAAAACCTGAAATCCTCACTTTCTCAGGATTTAAAAAAATGGAATTAAGAAATTGACTGAGGTCACATAAGAAAAGCCTAGAGGACAGCTGAGATCTTTGATTTAACGCTTATCGCTAACCAAAATTCAGATTGGTATTAAGGAACTCAATGACGAGAATAACAGAAGCATAAGTGCACCTGCGGGACAGTTGATATCTTTGATTCGATGCTTATTGTTCACCGAAGTTCAGATACTAGACTGCCAAAAAGAGAAATCCCACCCTTCCTGCATTGGTGTTTTTCTTTGGGTTGACAATGCTCAAATCCAACTTGTCTTTCTTCAGGTCCTCCTACCTCTTCCGGCACCCAAGGGATATAATTGGCAATAAAGACATAAGCAACCAATCAAACTAAAAAAATGTTGCAACCCTCAAGAGAGGTTTTCTTTGAGATGCCTCCTGTTTTTCCATTTATTAAATGCTTAAGTTACTGAAAAGCTTTTCTTTCATATTCTCTTATCTCTTTTAAGATAAAACCAATCTATGAAAGAATTGCTAGAGGAGGAAAAAACAGTAAACGTTGAAAAAATGTTAGTCTAAGCTCAGAACAGAATAGATAAGATCATCAAATCTCCCAACCACTTTTTAGACAATTCAACTTAAAGACATAAAGAAGGGGGGAAGACAGAAATTAAGGAAACAAATATGTTATCATTTAGCCCGAACTCTAATCTTCTTCTTCATGACACATAGCAGGTTGGCTTCTTAGCCGTTCAGTGGAATTGCATAACTTTGCAAGTCGAAACTTATGATGAACAAAGGCATTGGAATAAAATGTCAATGCTTCAATCCCACCCCTCACATCCAAAAAGTGAATAAATAAACAATCGCACACACAACGTAATAAAACAAAGATACGTTTAGTGTTTGTTAGACCTTAGTGAAGTACTGCAAACCTCACAAATGTGAACAGCCGATAACAACTAATGTTTTGAACAAAATATCAGAAAAAATAAAATTGATGCCCAGGTTATTCAATGAACTGAATGAGGTGTCTAGGATTCTAGTTGATATACTTATCGCCAGTAGGAGCAGAGCCTCCTTAAGGAACGGCCCCCCAAAATTTTTAAAATTTTTTTCATAATATTTTAAATTTTTTTATAAATTCTCTTAATGGCCCCCTCAAAATAATTTTTTATTCTATAATTAATACAAATAAAGAATAACAAAATGATTCCATATGCCTGACTCAATTTTAAATTTTTTTTTTCTTTCAATTTATATTATTATTTTTATTTATTTATTTATTTTTATTCTATTTAATTGTATACTATAAATCTTTATAAATTTTCTTCCACAAATTTCTACGAACCATCAACCGTATTCTTTTTCTATCTTTTTTATCATGTTATACGCAAGTTCTATTTTATACTTATCATATTCTTTTTTCTGTCATATTGATTTTATTTTCAATGATTTTAATTTTCAAAAATTAATTAATTATTATGTAATTTTCAAATATAAGTTGCAATGTTGCACTATTACTTAGAATTTTATCAATGTATTATTTTTTATTCAAAATAACCAATACATTCTGACATGTATGTTGCAACCTTTAAGTAACAAGGATATACATACGAATTGGCAGAATAAAATATTTGTATTTTTTAAAAACAATTTTATTTATTATATATATTTTTAATGACCCTTAAAATAATTTTTTTATTTAATAATTATTTTATTTCTCAAACCATTTGATGAAATTAAAGTCATTATGGTCAGCAAGCCCAGCAAATAAATTCTAACTTAATATGTTACGCTTATCAAATTTTAAAATGCAAAAAATAAAAGTGAGCCTATTAATCCAAATTCACTAAGTTTTCTAAACTTATCAGAACATATTATATCTTAACAGTTCAACTCAATAGCCGATCATAGCATATTATATCTCAATAGTTTAACCCAATAACCCAATATGTTAATTAGCAATTTAAGAGGCAAATAGAAAATAAGAGGAGAGCTTTCTCTACCCATTTCGTGTAGAACACACAAAGTAAAGATGCAATTTATTCAATTTTGAAAACTTGTTCTCTTCCACTCTCGCGCACAGAGAGTAAGAGAGATTCTTTTCATAGTTTCCTTCAGTCATATATATATATATATATATATGAAACCATCATTAATGTTAATGTGCATTTTTTTATATATCTAATATATTATGAATTTTATTTAGTCTTTTAGATGAATGAAAATTGAATTATACGTAAAGTTCTCTTTGATTGTTTAGTATCTTATTCTGTTTGGCCCCCTTTAAAAATGCTCTAGCTCCGCCCTTGTTGCCTTGGGCTCCCACCCCACCACCCAAAAGAGAGAGAGAATTAATGAAAAGAATCCAAGCTTTTTCCCAGTTGAACCAACTTTGTCTCTTTGGTAAATGAATGTTCCATTTAAACCAAAAACACCAAGTAATATTAAGTACAATAAAACGACTAAAAGCCAAATACAGACAATATTACAACAGATTCGCCCTATATGCATATCACATTCACTAATTTCAAATAAAATCTATAAACTAAAAGTAAGATCAGTGATTGGCCCATAAATTAAAAGTGTAACAACAGCTATACAAAAACATCCCTCTGCAGTTATTCACTTTAGATAGACACCTGTACATTTTCATAAGCCATAATATATATTCCTTAATCATACTTATCCTATGCTCTAGAAAATGACAAAAATGGAATCAGTCCAAATTACAGCTTATCAAAAACTCTTCTTCAGCATGTTCACATAGTTTTGCCATAGTTGCAAGAAAAAAATTAAACCAAAAAAAAAACCTTCTTTTGTTTAATCATTACATACAAATACATAGAGAGAGGTGGATAAAAGCTGAAAGATAGCTTCAATATTTGGATTGAAAACCTGAAAGCAAATTAGGGATATGCATTTTTCCACCAGTAAAACCCAAATCTTGGCAGAGAAATTTTGTAAATATTAAAATAAAATAAGCATATTATCTTTATATAGATAATAACAAGATTAAGAAGAAAGCAAAAGAACCCAAAATGCAGGAAGATGAAAGAAAGGAAGGGTAAAAACTAGAATACCTGAAAGCTGAAAGAGAAATGGGTTCACGCTAGAAAGTTTGACGAGGGATTAAGTGAAGCAGCCGCCATCACTGTAGTCTGAGAATCACTCCCTTCTTAACCTCGAAGTAATTTCTCTCTTTTGGGGTTTCAATTTTAAAACAAAATAACAAAAGGGTTTTGGTGTTTGAATCCTTTATTTTATTTTTAGAGTAATACAATGACTTCACAGGTCTCTCTCTCTTCGACCTCTGCAAATATATTCCTTCTTTCGGCAAAGAGTCAAACAAAGGTGTTGTCAATTATATTACCATATTACCCTTTGGTTTTAAGCTTATTTACTTTCTTTGAACTGAAGAAGTCCCTAATTTGTCAGATCCAGTGTTTTTCCGGGTAAGCGTGGTTTCTGATGGAAAACAAATAAAAAAAACGGACGGTGATCTGTTGTCTTGATGATGGAAAGTGAGGATCAGATCAACAGAGCAAACGGTGTGCCACATTGAATAGAATACACCCGCGAAGTAGAGTAACAAAATATGATGGTGGTTGACATATGGCTTATTATAACTACCTCTTTTAAGACAGGACTTGTCTGAAAAGGAAGAAATAAATAAAAAAAAATGTTGCAGGTACTTCCATTTACATTTGCTTTTATGGTGTGGGAACGACTCCTGCCTTGATTGCCGTCTCACTTGTCATTTTCTTTTATTTTTATTTTTTAAAACATTTTAATTTATAACATTTTTATGCTGATCATTTAAATTAAATTTCTTAAAATAATACTTGACAAAAAGAAGAAATAAAAAAACTAAGAAAATTTTCACACTTTTCACTTTTAGTTTTTTCTTTTTCCTAATTAATGGTTAATAAAATCACAATGTAGCATACATACATACATACATACATACATACATATATCAAATATTGAAAATGTCTAAAATGTGTTTTCTTATCGAAAATCAAAAATTTATACTTCCTTTTCACTTGAAATTTTTAATCAATTTGTACAAGTGATTTTGGATTTTAAAAAACACAATTTTTTTTCATATATTTGATATTTTTAAATTATTCTACATTGTGATTTTTAAAAGAAATGATCTAAAAGTAAGGAAAAATGAAGAAGAGAAATTTTTTTTAAAAAAAAAACTCATATTTTATCTTTTTTTCCTTTTTATGATTTTTTCTTCCTCTTTATCTTTCTCTTTCTTTTACTAATGACCCAAAATATTTTCACTCAATGTGAAAAAAATGAAAATGAAATTGACGAAAAAATTTTCTTAAGTCATTCTAATTTAGAATTTTTTATTAAAAATATTATAAAAAAGAATGAAGGAAATGTGGGAAAATGAGAGAAAGGTCCAAACCCTATATTTTCATTTTCTTTTATTTCTTTTTACCTTGTTTTCCTTTTTATTTATGGGAAAATGATAAAAAGGTCGAAAATAATTTTGAGCTTCATGCACAAGTTCTTTTACTAAAGCCAAACACCTTGTTATAGCTTTTTCACTAGAGAATTTCTTTTAAACTTAGGGCAAACGCTTAGGAAATTACTTATAAACTTCAAATTGGAGTTTTAAATTAAATTATTTATTTATAACATGTTTAAAAAACGTAAAGAAGCATATTTTGGCAGAAGAAAAGCAAATAATTGGAAGTTGGCTTTTTGTTAGCCATTTCTTTTGATGCTTATAAGCAATCAAAACTTTCTATTTCATGAAACCTTCCCCTCTACTAAAAGACAAGACTGTTGGCCTCAAGAAACGTATTTCAAAGTCCAAATGATCTCATATTCTTAACAGAGGATCGAATCAAGATGACTAAGGAACTCCCAAAAGAAATCTTTGTCCAAAAAAGAAGCCCTCATTCTTTCAAGAATGTGTTTTTGCAAAGCAGTACTAGAACTAATGTATTATGGGAAGATACTATGAAGGCATGGAGGAGTTAGACATGAAGTCGATGTGATAAGAAAAGGATGAAGATATGTAGACAAACCTAATGATCTATAAGGAAGATTCTAAAAAGGCATGTGAACCTTCAAGTAGAACCTTAGTAATTCTAGGAAAAACTTAAGATTAACTTTTTGGTGATCAAGGAATAAAAAAATACTTTTACCTTATCGACTTAGGAAATGTTTTTTACATTGTGAAGATGTCCAATCTTGAGATCCTACCTAAAGACCTTGAATGGTAAAGAGGATATTACCTCACAGTTCACAAATCTTATTTAAGTCATTTTTTTTAAAGTCCTTTGTTTATTATTGTTTAGGTGCATTTGTTAGGGCTTTTATCTTTGACCAACAAATCTTTTAAAGAATAGGCAACCTAATAAGCAACATTCGAAAGATTGATTAGACCACTGAGGAGTTGACTAGAGGGAGGTTTTTTAAAGTCTATGTAGAGACCGATTTAAAAAAATCACTAGTTGAAGGAGTGGTGGTTAGGACACACTGGTAGCCAGTGGAATATCAAGGATCAAAAAATTTTGCTTAGTGCAAAACCCAAACCTTTCATAAGATTAAAGTCATAATTGTTAGTATACAAGTCTCAAAGTGAAATATATCAAGAGAGGAGTGAATTGGTGTTTATAAAAATTTCTTTGAAAATCTAGTTATCAAGATCAAAACTTTTTCATCCAAAAATATTCTCTAACATCAAAAACAATTTTCAACAATAAATTACTTAAGCACAAAACCATTTTCCTAAGTTAAATGTTAGTTATGAAAAATAAAAGGAAAAATATTTTTCTAAGTGTAAAATGATAAATCATTATAAAACTATTTTCTTAAGGCAAATATAAACACCAACTAATAATGTGAAAAATTAAAAAAGGACACAAGAAATTTATAGTGGTTCGGCTTTTTCGATGCCTACATCCACCCCTTGGTAAGCAAGGAATTTCAATCCATTAACAAAAATCCTTGCTTTTTAACGAGAAGCAATAGCCATTACACAATCCATAAAGAGATTCTTGTTTTTTCATGCAATTAAGAGTTAACCCTTACAATGGCATTTTTACGGGATCAAGTGATAACCTTTACACAATCCACAAAGAGAGTTTTACTTTTTCATAAGATCAAACGATAATCCACACAATTCATAAGAGGGATTTTTGCTTTTTAAATGGAAAGCTATAACCCTTAAAAGATAGCTTTTCAAGGTTAAGTTAGAACCTTTACAAGATGTGTGTACAAAGAATTTGCCTCACAAATGTTGGATGCTAAAGATTTTAGCTTGAGTGTAGTGAAAGAAGAAATTACAGCTCGTATGAAGTAAGGATTCAACTTTGTAAGCTTGGTGAAAGACTAAAAGATGCTAGAGAGTGAAGATGAGCTTTTAAGTAGTCTCTCTAGGGTTTGAAGCTTTGGTTCAAGGCTTCTCTTACTTTAAAATGGATTAAATGCATCTATTTATAACTATGGCAATGTTTGGAGTCATTAGACATAAGTTTGAATCAAATCTGACTATTACTAAAGCTTAAGGGTTGACTACAAAACTTCTAGAGTCGACTATGTTTCTTAAATTTCTCAAATTAGGGTTTCCATAGTTGAGTGTAATCTTCCTTTAGTTAATTCATCTCCTAAAATTGTGTTTCTTGAAAGTCTGAGTTGTTATAGTCGACCATGCTCCTTCTACAGTTGACTAAGGTTATGTAATCTTGACTTTTTCTTACCTTTGATTGATTAAGGTCAACTATGTTTAGTCCAGGGTCAACTATGCTTGGTCTAGGGTTAACTATGTTTGTTCAAAACGTGATCTTCTTAAGCTTTTAGGCACAAGGTCAACTATAAACATTTCAAGGTTGACTATGACTTTATAATCTTCAAGTTTTGCACTTTTCCAACCTTTGGATCAACTCAAGCTTATCTAAGATCAACTCTTGGCTTATGGTTTAAGGTTTCCTTAGCTTTCGGTACTTCTCTCCATCTATTTCCTATTTGCCTTATTCTTACATTCAAATGACATTTCAAGGCATGTTTGCTCTTGTATTCTTAGTTGAATATGTATTGTTTGAAAAGCTTGTGAGATGTTTTTTAATGAACTATAGCTTTCAAATAAATACGTAACCTGAGAGGATTAAAAATATATTTGAGACAATTTCAAATGTTTGACATTAAATTGAAGAAAACATGTGATTTTAGTCAAATCAACATACAATGTAACTCAAGGCTAATAGTACCTTAGCTTGGTGAGCATATAAACTTTGATTTCTAATGACATTTTTGAACATTTACAACCTAAAAAGGGGTGTTTTGGTTGCCAAATGAATTAGTTTTAAAGTTAGAGTTTAGAGAGAGTCAAAAGACTTAGTTTTACTTGAAAATGGAATTCTGAAGCTAACATAACAAGACTTTGCTAGAAAGTATCGATACCTTTTTCCTAGAAATGATAATAATAAATAAAGTTTTAAGACCACATGCAAAACTATTAAGACATGTGAAATTCCTAGAAAAGTATCAAGACTTCTACAAAAGCCTTGAGATTTCTGGTCGAAATACCCAGACAGAACCATTTTGTTTCAAAAGTATCAAGATGTAAAAGTATCGATACTTCAACATCAGATTTCAAAAATAAAAAGGACAAAAAGGTATTTTTACATCCCACACTATAAATATGGCCTAAACTTTGAGACCTAACAATCTCCACCCTTCTTCAACTGCCAGCAACCCGTTTCTTACTCTTTGTACTCTTTTTCAAACTTTAAATCCATTTTTCTTCAAGTATAACGTTATTCCAAGCATCTAACCTTGAATTTCAACATTTTTAAAGGTAAGGAAATGATTTTCCAATATTAAAGTTTATGGGTTTTCATTTTAAAGTTCTGTTAAATCCTAAAGCTTTGATTATTACCTTAAATGTTAGGTTTCAAGAGATTTCCAACTTTGTAAGCTCACCAAGGTAAAGTTGCCTAAAACCTTAACTAGTTCTAGAATAGTTCATTATTAGGTTGGATTTTAGTTGCTGATTTTTGGATTCAAGGTTAAGAGAAGAAGTTGGTAAAAGGCTTTATGGTTACTGATGAAAGTTATGCCTAAAGAACAAGGTATTAACAATGGATTAATCTTGGATAGGTGCTATTGGAGAAGTTGTCTATTTGAGAGATCCAGTGTTTGTCAAAAGGTGCTAAAGGTTTAAACATGCTTCATCTGGGTAAGTGGTTACAACATTTTCAAAATATTTTGATATACAAATACGTAAGCATGTTTGAAATAGAATTGGCATTGCTTTTGATGGAAATCCAAAATTTG